GGCTTGCTAAGAAATACGGACAATTGAGAAGAAAATTTCAAAGGAGGAGCCAATTTTAAATCGTTGGAAGTTTTAGGGATTTCAGCCAGACAGTAACACTTTGCAGGAACCCCTTGGTGGCCTTCAAGAGAGGAGTTTCAGTAAAATGCCTGGAATGGGTGACCAAAAAGCCACACATGAAGTCATCACTGGGCAGCGTTGGTGCGGTTATAAATAGGACGGCAGTTCATCAAGGCACTGAGACTGCTAATACTACCGGAACGAACACAACTTCCCTTTACATATTTTACTGCTAAAAAAAAAGAGGACACACAACGGCAGCTCAGAGCAGGGAGGCAGCTTTGACAAAGCGCAGCTGTCCTGTTTCAGAGAAACCCTTGGGAGGCTTCATAAGACTTCTCTTCAAAATGGTTACACACTCTTCTTTTTGGTTTGGAAAATGTTATGCAATTAAACCCACATCCTACTTTGTCAAGATTACTATTGTCCTCAAACCTCCAAAATTACAAGCCCGCAGCTACTGGTAACAGTAGGCGACAGTTAACGGAGAGAGCTGTGGAGGTGACGGAGTTCCGAGGGAGCTGGATGACCCCATTCCCTCACAAACGCGAAGTCAGCTTGCCCGTGCTCATCTCCCCCCTTGTAACTGTTTCTCGCTTCCTTTCAACATTATGTGAATTACAAGGTTGAAGAGCCCTTGAGGGGTCACCTTGTTCATCTCTGCCTTCAAAGTAGATAGCGTGTATCTAAAAACCACGGTGGTAATTGTTTAGGGAAAAGAAGTTATAGAGTTCATTTAATTTTGTCAAGCTAATTAGCAGAGGTCCATAGGCGCCGACCTGCGGGAAATGAGGCCAGTTCTATCTGAAATCACCTTTCGGCCAATAAAACTCTGGGTCCCTGCACATCACTTCCTCAGACCACCGTCACCTCCCGCTCTGCCCTCCAGTTTACCACAAGGATTTAGACAAGTGTGACTGTCCCAGAGATATGCTACAAGGATATAGATCGGCCCCGACTGCACTCACACCCTCGTGATCAGCTGCCTAAATAATGAATTCGCCTGCAGATAGAACTCAGCTCTCACTGAAAAAATTAATGATCAGCACCCAAAATATGTCTGTGTTAGATCAAAGAATAAATTATCGTCCCTCAGTTCAAAAGTGATTACAAGCCCTGCTTGTTCACAGGCAAGCAGCTGCCCAGTTATTCATCTTATTCAGGGAAAACAAAATAGATGTAGATAACATCCACTGTTGACATAAACTTTTAATTGCTTTCGGGTATTTTGCTTTATCTCCTGGAGGAGAAGAAAGTGACCGTGAGCCCTAAAGTCTTGAGATACAGTGTTTCATTTTAGACCTATTAAATGAAAAGATGTTAGGACACAGACACGGTCTTTTGGGTATTGAAAAATCATTTTCTCTTTTCTTTTAAATTTTAACTCAAACAGTGTAGGGAGAGATTCAAAATACGCTGTAATGGGCTGGGAAACCAGCAGGGCAGGGGAAGGCCCTGATTTTTTTAGCACTTGCTGATTTCTCTGGTGTAACGCCCTCTTCATGGCCAAGCTACCAACAGCCAGCTCAAAATTCCTGAAAATTTAACAGCTGGCTCTCAAAAGTTGGCTTCTGCACACCACTGGAGCTACACAAAGAGGCAATCGGTATAAGATTTCTTTCATGCCTTTCTATTTAGCAAGTAAACTCAATTGTTAAACCACTAAAAAATGTGAATTTCAGGCTACGATCACATGAAATATGGTGTGTCATCATAGGTAGTCATTGAAACTCAGGTTATAAAAGAATATTTAATGGTGCAGAAATATATTTAGGGAATACTTTCAGTGAGAACAATGTGCCCAGTATGATCCCAAATTTGCACATAAAAATGACTAGAAGAATATACCCAAAATGTGAATTGTAATCATCTGTTAGTTGTGAGATCATGTGTAGGTTTTATTTTCTTCTTTGTCCTTTTTCTGTTTTTCAAATTTTCTGCAATGTTTGTGATACTTATAACTGGAAAAAAAATCCAATAAATGTTATATATTTTAGAGAGAAAAAAATACATTTCAGATTCTTTTATGTCCAAAGAATCTTATGGGTTGACTGGCTAGAAAAATGAAGCAGATCAAATTCTATTTAAATAAGGTTAAATCTTTGTCATTTATTTTTGTGACGTCTTACTGTTTTCAAAGTATTGTCAAATGTATAATCTAATTTTCTCATCCTTGACGCAGGGAAGGCAGATTATAGCCTCATTTTGCAGATGAGAAAACAGAGGCTCGAAACGATTAAATGATTCAGCCCTGCTGGCATGGCTAGTAAAGCCTCTAAACTGGGACTTTCTCCTGAGTTCCTAGTGCCACCCCTGAGACCTTCCCTCAAAAATAAGCTGAGGGAAGCTTCGCTCATTGGCTCCTTTGTTCAAGTTCCTACTGCACATCTAGACCTGATTCTGCAAGGGGCCACTCTCCTTGTCCTGCCCATTTTAAATGCCCAGAGCTTAGTCTAGAGACTAGAATCATCTAGGCAGGGCACACTCCGTCCGGGCACCAATGCCACAGAGAGCGACACCTACAGTGGACTCTTTAGCTTGGAGATGGTGAACACGACTGGAGAATTTGCTGAGAACGACAGAGCCCACACTCTGGGTAGAAAACTACGTACAACGTTCTACAAACACCTATTTACGACAATCTTCAAAGGACACATAACAGGTTCTGGTATGTTTCCATACCTTCTCTTAAAGAAATGGGGAGCACCCTTTATGGGAATGGCTGGACGAACAATTTCCGGGTAGCTCCTGTCTGAAGACTTTGTTGGGTCCTCCGTGATCTGGGCTGGTGTCTACCTCCTGCTTCTGGATCCTCACTCCTGCTCACAGCCAGTGCTTTACCAGGCCTCACTCATCAGAAACAACAGCACATCGGGTTTCTCTATTATAAGGCACAAAGTAAGAACTTGTTGCCTCAAATAGTAGGTTTTAGTGGATAAGAGCTCATGCAAAGCAAGAAAAGCCAGGCCACCAGGCATTAGGGAAACAGATGGCCCCAGGAGGGGGTGGCCTGCTGGGGGAGACAGACCGTCTCCTGTGTCACCATACAACACAAAGAAAGAACAACCCAGTCCCACCTAGACCCTCACAGTGGGCAGTCTGGGAGCCTCAGGGAGCCCTTGCCCAGCACAGTGGCAAAGCCACTCCTTCCCATCACGGACCGCGCAGGCAGAGGCCAGCGTGAGGACTGTCTTGTGAGACACAATGTTTCCTGGGACTCTTCGCTGCTCCAGTGTATGTACAAACGTGTGCATGCTGGTTTCCAGCTACTCCCCAGGGGTGGGTAGTTAACTTCATGTGAAGTACCCGAACCGGAATGCAAGTGCAGGGATGGAAAGCTAAGCGGGCCACTCTGGAGGAAGCCACTAAAGCGTCTGAGCTACACTTATCTTTTGATTCACAACCGAGGCTTAGTTAATTAGCACCACGGGCATTAGAAATGACTTTTCATTGGTAAAATGAACTTTCAAGAAATGTGGATTGTGCAAATATCATACATCCCCTCTTGGCCTAGTATAAACAGAGCACAAGGAATCAGGGGCCAAACTGCCTACGGCTTTGGAATGGTACCTGAAAATGATTGTTGGCGTATTCTTTAACCTGTGTAACCAGAGAGATAGCTGAATCTTGTGGCTAAAATACTCTCCCATCTGTTCTGAATAAATTTTTACACAAGGTGCCACCAAAGCACCTAGAGGACAGACACCTGAGATTTCATCAAATTTATCAAGGCAGGATGACTGTCTTGTTGCCAGTGGGTGCTGACACTTGCTTTCACAGTACCATAGTCTACCTCTTAGCAAGTTTGTGAGAGAGGAAACTTAGAGGGCTCACTCATTTTTAATTAGTAGAAGTTGCCAACAATCTATCAAAAAGAACTTGCCAGGTACACCTGTCGTTTCAGCTACTCAGGAGGCTACATGGGAGGATCACATGAGCCCAGGAGTTCGAGACCAGCCTGGGCAACATATCCAGACCCCATCTTTAAAAAAATTTTTTTTAATTAAAAAAATAAATTTTAAAAAAGAACTCAGTAATCATGAAGATCAAGTCAACTTGACTTAGGATGTTTTGCTCTGATAACTTTACTATCCTCAGAAACAATTAGGAAAATTCTGAGCAAAAGCTAAGTGACTCACTACACGCACTGAGTACTGCCATGTGACTTCATTTGTACCTAGAAACAGAAAGGGGCCTGGGGAAATGCAGGGTTACCTTTTATTCCTTACATTATCTTATTTACATTCACAGTGCCATGCTTAGTAATGTGTATATTTCATGGTACCAGGACTTCTGAACTCAGTTAAATACCACAATTCAGTTTAAAAATCAACCTTAAAGCACTTTAATCTTTATTCTACTCCTGATTATAAAAATTATACACACACTATAAAAGTCTTACATTATAGAAAACTAAAAAACTAAAAATTCCCCCAGAATCCCATCATCAGAGGGAATTCCATCCCTCCTTCTCTCTTTGATAAGTATTCTTCCAGATTTTTAAAGCATATAGTAAATAAACAGGATAGAGTGGAATCCTACTGTATATATGTGCTATTCTGTTCTTGTGCAAGTTTTCAAATAGTTCTGACAAATAACTCAACTGATCAGTTTCTCCAAAGAGCTTATGGATTTCATTTTCAGAGAAGATTCAACCACACTGTGGGTAGAAAAACCTGTAAGATTTTTGTATCATTCATATTAAATATTGTCCCAAGTATTAAAGGTAAACTAAAGTTCTTAAAAAATAGGAAAGGAAGAATAATGAACTTGATACAGAGGAGAAAACAGTTCAGAAAATTATCCCACTTTCTTATCAAAATAAAAACTCCTAATTCCAATTCCAGAAAGTACCATAAAATGGCTTTAAAATTGGAAATTGGGAAACAATCACCTCTTTACCATAAAATATAGCTGTAAAAGTAATGCTACAATTCTTCTCTTTTAACAAATAAGGGTAGAAGGGACAGGGCAGAGTGACGGACACAGAGTAGAGTTCAGTTTTTGTAACTGGTAAAGGGCAATTTTGATTCAATCTCCCACAGCTGCATTTGTAATGCTTTCAAGACATCTTCCATCTGTTGAATTAAAATAAACACATGAATATGATTAAAAATTATACATGGTTAAACATGAATATACATTGTTAATGCAATTTTGAACATTTCATGCATTACACATAGATACTTATTCAGTGTCTAATATAATTATTTAGAGGCATAAACTAAATTTTATTAAATAAGACATAATTCTATTGACAGTAGTTCTCAACCTATAATCTATGGCTCCTTTATACACTCATCACCATCTTGCCTATCTGGCCATGAAAAGATGCTAACATTCAACAATAAAGCTGTTTATACCACAAGAACCCAATCAAATAAAATACTGATTTGAGCCAAAGATATATTTCTAATTTAACAGTTTTAAAACATATACTGTTTTGACTTTGGCATGAAATGTCTTCCTTTTTATTTTGTTGATAAAGCTTTAGCTTAATTTATAGTCTGGTTCCCAAAAATATCAACTTTACTAACAACTGAAATAAAATAAGCACTCTCACTGTGCAAGTGCTAAGATCAAAGCAGATGACATGATGAGAATCATTGTTTGTGGAGGAGCCCTTGTTCACTGGCAAGAAGTTGTTCGTACACAGACATAAAAGGTACAGAATAAAATTACCTGTTTTAAAGACTTTTCTATTTCAACTCTGCTTTCGAGATTAAAAAGCTCTTTATCTTCTGACACAATTTGCTTTTCAGAGGACCCTAAAATATAACTAAAGTACAATACAAAGTGAAAATATGAACTGAGCATGGTATCCCAGCTACTTGGGAGGCTAAGGTGGTAAGAGTGCTGGAGGCCAGGCCTGGGCAACATAGTGAGACCCCCGTCTGAAACAAAAACAAAGATAAACTATGAAAAAGGAACAAATGCTAAATTTATGTCAATTAATAATACTAAAACTCCATGTAAATTACACTGTATGTTAGTAACAAGAAAACAAGTAAGACCCCTATACTTGTTAATAGCAACCTTCCTAGGAAGCTGGGCTATATAAAATCATGTCTTTCTCCATAACAGCTTTGACCAGATATTTCTCCATATTAATCTTTAAGTATTTCGTCATTGGAATAAACTTGCTCTTTAGTAAGCTGGGTGGCAAAATATTTTCACTCACAGTTCAAAATTCTAAGGGCAAGTTTAAAGATCCTGCAAAAGTCACTGCTTTCTTGCTTTATATAACTTTTTGGAAATGTGTATTTTCCAATTGGACTTTTAATAGTAATTTGGACAGAGGAAAGACCACGTGAAGACACAGGGAGAAAACAACCACCTGCAAGCCAACGTGAGGGGCCTCAGGAGAAACCGACCCTGCCTACACCTTGATCTTAGACTTCCAGCCTCTAAAACTCAGACAATAAATTTCTGTTGTTAAAATAGAAATAAGTAAGTAATTTGTGAAGTCAACTCTTGATGACCTAAATTTGGGCAACTTCAACAGTTACTTCCAAGTTATGCTTTGCTTGATTCTTTAGGGTTTATGAGATGTTATAATCTAGAAAAGTATTGAATAGCAGAAAAATTAACTTGGCAACGGGATGAAATCAGGCCCAGTGCTGGTAACTAAATAAATCTAAACAGCAAGGAAGAAAATGCCAGTGTTCCTCAAAAGAAAATTGGTTCATTTGCATTTCTTTAGTAGACGACTTTTGTCATGTGCAGCAACTTCAGTGCGTCACTTCTTTTGTCAAATAAGAATAGTCTTCTCTTGGAAACCCTACGGGTTATATTCCTAAAAAACAGCACAGTAGGCAAAATTGCAGAAGGTAATTAATGTCCTATTTAGAAAGAGAGAGCGAGAGAGAGAGATAAGGTGGAAAAATTAAATGGCATTGAGTAATTTATAAAACTGTAAATATACGTTATAGAAGGCATACACTTCTAAAACAAAACCAGATTTCTTGGCATTAAAATCCTGCCCCAGGAGGCAACTTTTACACTAAATTCAACTGTTCAGGAAAAACAGCTTCGATACTATGATCCTTGGGCAAAAATCTTCCATGAGTTTTCTTGTACACAAATAATATCATCTTTAAAAGTTTTGTACCAACTCTACTCTATTAAAAGATTTCAAGTTGTTTATAGTTGTATTCTCCCTTACTTAATTTCCACAAACCTTGGTAAAATTCTCAGAGATTAACAGAGCATTTGTTTGGACCTGGGTCTTCATTCATATATTAAGACCAAACAGATGATCTCTCCAGACAGACCTACACGCTTTGTAACAGGGAACAGTACTTGTTACGTTATTCTTTTGTGTAAGGGCTATAAAAAGTTTGCAGATCATAGAATTTTGATCTAGGCTGGATAATGGTGGCTCAAGCCTATACTCCTAGCACTTTTGGGAGGCCAAGGCAGGAGGATTGCTTGAGGTAAGGAGTTTGAGACTACCCTGAGCAAGTGCAAGACCCAGTCTCTACAAAAAATAGAAAGTTAGCTGGGTGTGATGGCTCACGCCTGTAGTCCCAGCTACTAGGAGGCTGAGACAGGAGGATAGCTTGAGCCCAGAGTTTGAGGTTGCAGTGAGCTATGATCATGCTACTGCACCCTACCCAGGTGACAGAGCAAGTCCCTGTCTCAAAAAAACAAACAAAAAAAAAATTGATCTAAACTTGTCTAGTTTCCAAAAAGGTGGCAAAACTACAGTTACCAAGGAATAATTGAATCAATTAGATTAATTAGAACCATAAAAAGAATACTGTTTTAAATTTTTTGAAGAGGAAAAAATCTAAGATATTCAACAGGAGTGATAAAATAGCTTGAATAATGAAGTCTAGGCACTTTCTTTCCTTAAATTGTTCTTCTTTCCTGATATGTAAGATTTCTTAGGCATCCTTAAAGTACTGAGGGTTACATCTTTTCCAGGATAAGTGAAAATGCACTGGGGTCAACTGATTTATTTTTGTGTTTTCTTTAAAGGCCAATGAATTGGAAGACCATTAAGATATCTGCAGCCAGGTCAGTGGCTCATGCCTGTAATTCCAGCACTTTGGGAGGCCAACGCAGGAGGATTAATTAAGGCCAGGAGTTTGAGATCAACCTGGGCAATATAAGAGAGACCCTATCTCTACAAAAAAATTTTTAAAAATTAGCCAGGAGTGGTGGTGCATGCCTGTAATCCTAGCTACTTGGAAGGCTGAGGCAAGAACATTGCTTGAGCCTAGAAGTTTGAGACTGCAGTGAGTGCTGATCAAGCCACTGCCCTCCAGCCTGGCAACAGAGCAAAACTCTCTCTCAAAAAAAGATGTCTGAAATTCTATAACTGATGTCTGTCTTCAGCCCCTAATTCACAGTTTCCTAACACTTTTTAGAAATCTTAGAGAGTGAAGGATTTTCCTTGCATTTCTCAAAAAAAGCAGACAATTCTTTACTATAGGAAATAGTTGGGCTTTGTATTTCTGCTTTTCCAGAAAACCAAAAGGACTTCTTTCCTAACCATTTTGAAATTTCTATTTCTTCATGATACCTTGGAGGCTAAAAACTGGGGGAAGAGGCCAGGCCTGCTGGGTCAGACCTGTAATCCTAGCATTTTGGGAGGCGGAGTGGGAGCGTTGCCTGAGGCCAGGAGTTCTGAGACCAGCCTGAGCAAGAGCAAGACCTTGTCTCTACAAAAAATAGGAAAAAAACCAAAAAACCTGGGGAAGAAAACTGGACTATATATATTGATCCATACCGTTGCTTTAAAACAATCCTATTAAAGTACATTTAATTTTTAAAAACAACTGAACACATTTTTACTACAAAAAAAATTTTCAGTGTTTTCTGCTACAATTTAGAGTGTCTGACTTTTCTAATAACAAATAAACCACATCAAAGCAAAAAAATCACTGACTTTATTGTCAGAAATTATTACTCGAAAATATATTTTAACCAGTGTTGATTTAGTTCTGATGTTTTCATGCCAATTTCTTTGCAAACTTAACTTTCCGAGACATCAGCTGTTACGTAATCATTTATATCTCAAACTTACCTTTCGATGGCTTCAACGCTGAGGCAAAACAAGTCTCTCTTATAATCAAGATGCTTGGGAGTGCATCTATATACGTAGCCAAGATTGAGTGAGCACCCTGTGCAGTACAAAGTCTCAAGAATGCTGCAATAAAGAAATGTCATCGCTTTAGGAAAGAAAGTAGCAACTCGCTATAATAAAAATCCCATTGTTAAAATCCACAAACACTTAAGTTTGTCAAGTATGTTATTCTTACCATATTAAGTTATATATACAAGATAGGAAAAAATGATAATAAGATATTTGCAATGCAAATGCAAGGACAGTCATCTCCAGGCCACAATGCCTTAAGCATAAATGACAAGAAACGTAAAAAAGCAATAAGAAGAGAGGATACCAAGGTGGTGTTTTTCTAGAATATAAACTCCTCAATCTGGCATTAAGATTTGCAACTACGAGATAAGTGTTAAAGACTATGAGGTAAGTGTTAAAGACAGTCTAAAGAAGATAACTACAATGAAACAAATGTTATTAGTTCTAGCTGAAATCTTACTGCCTGGCTGGTTCTCAGCCTGATGTCTGATCTCTCACTATTAAAAGATTTGTAGGGCCTGGGACTGCTGGAGCTCCTGTGTTGTTTGCTTCTGATCACAGGCAGCCTTGTCTGTTTACTCTAATGGGGGTGGCGGGGTGGGAGGGTGGTGTATGTGTGATATTAGCATTTTATGAATGTGTCATGACATAAAAAAAATGGGTAGCACTGGTCTAAGGCACCATTTGATTTTGAGATTTTATGATACAGATATTTTCTTTTTCTATTTTTATTTGCGATTTTCTTTAGCACCAAGCCCAAAGACCCAAAAAGGAGTGTCAGAATATGCTTTTGGGAATCTAGAAACACTAACATCTCAAAATCTAAGGGCAACCACAACTGCTCAAGAATTGATACATGTGAATGACTGATTTTATACTGATTACCATGAAAACAGCTTTATCCCAAGTAACCTTACTGGTAATGATCTTTTAAGGATTTTTACTTGAAAAATAAACATTTTCTCTAACATACATACTCACATAGATAAAGCCTTACTCACATAGATAAAGCCTTACTCACCAACCATTTTCCTTTTCACGTTTGGATAGCTTCTGTTCCTTATCCACAGAAACATTACAGGAAACACCTAGAAAGAAAGAACAATAATGTATTAATATGGTTTGTAAATACACATGCAGACATCTAGAGCATCTAGACATCTAATCCAACTTTTATTTTAGTATTCAGAGGACCAGAAAAAACAAGAGCCCAAAGTCTCATACACACACACAAAGGTGGTTCAAAACTAAATATCCTGAGGTCTTCAGGAAAAAGATGGCAAAGTAAGAGTTATTTCCTTCCTTTCCCTGAAAACCACTGATGTTAACAAAATGAATAAGGAGAAAAATCAATCAACAGTGAAACATGGAACCATTAGAACCTCAATTCACAGACTGCAAACAGTTTCTGTCAAACAGCGAAATTGGGATCAAGAGCAGGGGCGGTGGCTCATGCCTGTAATCCTAGCACTCTGAGAGGCTGAGGCGGGAGGATCACTTGAGCCCAGGAGTTTGAGGTTGCTGTGAGCTAGGCTAACATCACAGCACTCCCAAGAATTGCACATGCTGCCAAGTAGGCATTCATGTATAAAAACAGGAAAACATTTTCAAGCACTCAAACTTGTTTTCTTGGGATGAGGGACCATTGATGATTAGGCAAACAAACTCAGGATGGGAAAACTATTAAGAGGCTTTCTTATATTAATAAGAGTACTGAAGTCAAGTAATGAATTCATATAAACATTATATTAAGGCCATGTTATGGCTACAGAACAGAATGTAAATGTTATAAATCTTGACAAAGTAAAAATAATTAAACTAACTCAAATTAGGTAAGGAGGAAATGAAAAAGAATCCAAGAGTTCATTTCTTTGTCTTGGTTGGGGGAGGTGTTAAATTGTTAAATCAGATTATCCAAAGCTAACAAATCAAGATATTTATAGTTTTTAAAATTTAAAAACTACTGATATAAAAAAACTAAATAGCAGAAATAATAGTATTTCTACATGTAAAGCAAAACAAAGAAAAGAGCCCACATGGCCAAAGATAGAAAAGCTATAAAAACAGACTGCAAATAAAATGAAAGTTGTAATACCAAACATGTTATTTCTTAAAAAGCTGTAAGCAAGGTAAACTCACTCATTTAAAGAAAGAACTTCTACGGTTTCAAAAATCTCACCCCAAATATATGCTATTCTAATGGTGGCAAGGCTGGAAACAACCTAGACCTCTATCCATAGGGACAGACTGGGTGGATCAACAGCACCCCCATTAGAGAAATTACTTAAGTGGCACTTGCTATGCATTCTGAGTACATGACACACATTAACTCATTTAATTCCCACAACTACCCCATGTGAATATTATCCCTATTTTACAGAGGAAGAGAGGCACAAAGAGGTTATGTGGCTTATCCAAGGATACACAGCTAGTAAGTGGCAAACTCAGCAAGGGTACACCAAGCAGCTGCCAAAAAGTGAAGTATATCTACATACACTAATATGGAAAAATATTCAGTACATGTGGAATAAAAAAAGCTTGCTTAACAGTAATATGAATAATATAATCTCAGGTGTGTTGTTAAAAATTTACATGTTTAAATATGTTCACACAAGCAAGGAACATATCTGTGACTATAAATGAGAATAAGGCATTCTGGGACTATGGTAGTGTGTGGGTCAAGGGATAAGAAGTCCTTTTTACTTTTACACCCCTCTGCAGGGTTTGATTTTAATGGGCGCAAAGGGTTACTCTCAATGAATCACTACAAGAAAGGTATGTTATTGGCTTATGTTTAACTACCGTAAAGGGATTCAGCAATAATAGTTCATAAACTAATGTATCCTTATGGAAAACAGCAAGTCGCAGAAAGTTCCAGTCCATTAGTGGACACCGGTATGCCCCTTTATTCCCAATATTACACCCTGGAAGGAAAACACTCCACAAATGTCAATAAGCTGGTGGTGAATTTCTGCCATCAAAATATTTACAGAATTCAAACAGCAAAAACATCACCTTGAAAACCACAATCCAAAAACAACAGCCTAATAGTACACCAATTCAGAAAAATGTATGTGAGCCACTTTACCGCTAAATAAATACTGTGAAAACAACCAACTGAGGGAATGGTGGGACAACATGGAGGTAACCAGTAGAACCAGAATTAAAAGCTAGAACTCTGGCCTTCTTAACTCTTTTTACTATGGGGTCCTGCCTCTCAAAATTTGATGGGGTTGTTGATGCTTTTATTGCAAGTTACTGGCATCTCTATGTTTTTAACACTTGAGACTGTAAAGGCATCCGCTGATAGAGCCAGTAAGATCTGAGAAATCAATCCTGACAACCCCCTGCAGGAAGCAGGCAGATGGAAAGTTTAATTTCTTAAATAAATCATTAAAAATATTATTCATTAACAGTCCACTAATTTCTGTAGGGATTAATAGTACTGGCTACATCATAAATGTTTATAATCTACTGGCGATTTTTTTTTTAGGGTCTTTAAAAAAAAAAAAAAGTATTGCCATTTGTTTCTAAGTAATGCTCACACTGAGGCTGATTCAATCGCTCCTCTTATGGGATGAGGAAGCCCAGAAAAAGACACGTCACCCGTGAGCCCAAGTGCAGAGGTGACCCTTCTCCTCCCCGTTTGCTGAGAAAGCTAACACTCTCAAGATTTTTCTGCTTTTAAAGTTCCTGGGCAGCGCTAAGGAGCCCTCCCCGTCTAGGGCCGCCCAGGTGCGGCACACCTAGGGAGAAGGCGGCCTCCACCTCCGCCCCCACCCTACCCCCGGCTGGCCCAAACTGACAGCGCAGCAGGATGCAGTTGGTGTCCTCCTGGCTGGTCACCCAGCTCAACGAGTCGCCCAGCGGCCGTCGGCAGCCAGAGCACAGAAACACCAGCGGCCTCTCCTCTGCCACCGCCGCCTCCTCGAGCCGCGCCTTCTCTTTGTTGCCCACCGACGCGTCCCCGTTTGTGGAGCTCCACATGCTCGCCCACTTCTGCAGCAGCTGGTGGCGATTCGAGTCTTCGGAGAGCCGCTTGCCCAACAGCAAGGAGTCACTCCACTTGCCCTTATCGCCGCATGTACAGCTGGTAGAGGATCCTCCGCAACAATCCAGCACCCAAGCGCCGGCCATCATCTACAAATCTCGCGCGCCCCAGAGCGCCACGGGAAAAATGCCTGCGCATGCGCGTGACAGGGCGAGGGGGCGGAGGCCCAGAAGGAGCGAAGGCCTGAAGAAGGCGGGCCGATGAGCAGCCTCTAGTGCGCATGCTCGCGGTCGGGCAAGACTGGGCCTGGTAGTCACTGCGCCTGCGTCAGATTTTCCACCCTAAGGAAAGTGAGGATGCTGGAGATCGGCTTGGCTTGTCCACTTAAAGCGGTTATTCATCCCCTCGCCGGGGAGGGCGGACATCGTTGAGAAAGTTACGGGCTCTAAATAAATTACCAGCTCCTCACCAAGACCTTCATCATGGTTAGTAACAGCGAATACGCCGCCGTACGGTGCCCAGGTAGAGGAGCTGGGAGCACACTCCCCCGCTTCCTGTGGCCTCGTCCCGCCCTGAGATGCTGCAGCCCCCTCAGACTTTAGGTTGTCTAAGAATCACCTGGGGCCTAGTTCTACAAAGCTTGCTGGGCCCCACCTTCAGATTCTGGTTCAGTAGGTAGAGGTTTAGCCCGAGAATTTGCATTTCTGACAAAATCCCTGGCGTGTAGACGTTGTAAGCATTGGCAACTCCACTTTCAAAAAAAAATTGTGTGTGTGTGTGAATTGACAAATTACAGTTGTGTATAGGCAGCTCCACTTTTGATTGCCACTACGCTAGTTTGTCTGCTTCCGGGGGCCAGGTTTCCTTGAGGTGGAGAAAGCAGGGGTTGTGGGAAGCCCCCTCATCTCCCGTTCCTTTGCGCATTGTTACTGCTGGAACGAGACCCACTGCTAATGGGGGGAAACAAACTCTGTTAAATAAAGAGGTTTATTCTGAGCCGAGTAAGTGTGACTGCATCCTGGGGAGCCACACCCAAGAAGCCTTGAGTAAGTGCTCCCGAGGTGGTGGAGTTACAGTTTGGTTTTATACATTTTAGGGAGACAGAAATTGTAGGTAAAATCATTAATCAATACATGGCCGGTGTAGTTGGTTTGGCCGGAAAAGTCAGTACATCTTGGAGGGGAGGCGGGGGACTTACAGGATAGGTGGATTCAAAGATTCTTTGATTTGTAATTGGTTAAAGAAATAAAGATTTATCAAAAGGCTTAGAATGTTTTCAGATAAGGCAGTCTGCTAATCAGAGAGCAAACCACAATATACCGACTCAGTGATCTGGGAAGCAAATTGATGGCCTGTAGGTGTGACTTAACCTTTGCCTCGCATGGCCTTAGGTCCTGTTAATAATTTAGCGTCTTATTGTCTCAGGAGTCTGTTTTGTCAGTCTTATGATCTCTGTTTTAACATTAATGCTGGTCGATCCATGTATCTAAACTCCAAAAGGAAGGGGGCATAACAAGGCATGTTTGACCTCCCTTCCCTTCATGGCCAGGAACTCAGTTTTAAGGTTTTTCTGGGGTCCTCTTGGCCAACAGGGGGTCCGTTCAGTTGGCAGAGATGGGGGAGGTGGATTTTATTTTGGTTTGCACCTAGAAAGGGCCCCAGACCACTCAAGCTAGCACTGCAAGGGAAAAGTTGAAGACACTGGTATGGGCAGCAGCAATGCTACTGGAAAGCATGGAAGTGCCTCTGCTGTTTGGATGAAGGAGCCACCCACCCTTGCAGGGGATGAGCGTCAGGGTGGTAAGGACAGACTTCCTCAACACTCACAGAAAGCCAGCCTCTGACTTTAAAACACCACAGGTCAGGAGAGAAAGCTGTTGGAGAACAGACCAGACACACCGCTGACACCCTGGCAGCGTATCTGGGAAGAAAGCTACCCCCAAGGACCTATATCTATTCCTACTATGCTCCGGGTGTTCCCCAAGTCACTGCCCACTTTGCTGTGTTAGGTTAACTATTTACATAAAATTTACTTCCAGTTTTTGCTAATGGCATCTTTCTGCCACTAGCAAAAAGCAAAAGCTTTGGAGTCAGAAGTCCTGGGTTACCTCTCCCTCCACAAAGTAGTAAACATGTAGGAAACTGTGGAAACGCTATTTCCTTCCCTGAGTCTGATTCTTCATGGAGTAAATGGGTCAGTACGGCACCGGATTGTTAATGAAGATCAAGTGATATAATATGCATGAAAATAAATTGTTAACCCTAGCATACCATGTTCTATAATAAGCTTCCAACTGGAAGAAAATGTTTCAAATATTTTAGGTTTTTGTTTTTTTTTCTTTTTGACCCATAGAATTTCCATCTCTCCTGCTTTCATGGAGCTAAGTAAGCGTGACCTTCCTGGACTGTTGTTTTTAAGCACAATATCTCTGGCACAACATTGATACAACCCCCACTCTTATCCTGGGGTGAAGATGGCGGTGTTGATTAATATCTTGCACTAGATGCTATTATTTCTTCATGGAGATTCTGTTTGCAACTAACGTACCTGCGGAATCATCTACATCCTGAGAAGGCCATGGCAGAACACAGAGGGCACACTCAAATTCCAATAACGTGGGAGGGTTTCTTTGCAAAGATGTAGACAGCATGTGAGAGAGAACCATGGGGGATCGTGCAGGAGTCCAGACGGGAAGCACTGGAGCCAACACCAACCCCCCTCGATTCACAGGGTTGTGGGGAGAGGTTACTTACTAGAATCCCGGAGGTGAGAGATCCACCTTGAGAGGATCACCTTTCCGTCAAGGGTCACAGCCAGCTGGATGACCTTGCAGGGAGGGAGGCAAGAGATTAAGTTCCCTGACCTTGCTTTCTTCTCCCTCTCCAGTTTCCTGCTGGAACTCCCCATGGCCGGTATCCAACCAGAGTCCAGAGGGTGTGGAGCATATTGATGTCATCTGTACAGGTCCGCCTCCCTCTGCAGAGAGCAGGGGGCAGCATGCATAAGAAGGAATCCTACACACAGCCTGCCCTTGTGCTTGTTCAGGGGCAAGGGGCAGTTCATCCTCCCTGAAGAGGTTCTAAGGACATAGTAGGAAGCAAAATGTAGCATTCCATTTCATTTCTATCCTGCAGTCTTTTCTTACTCAACATGTCAGTTACTCAGACTGCCTCATTCAACCCTCTTTTTTGGCTTGGTTCAAAAGCCTTGACATAAACAATAAATAAATGCTAGTCCAATTTAATATTCGTGGCTAACACTGGGGGAGGGGGAAGAGAGAGAGAAAATGAGAATATAACTAGAGGAGAAAAGGAATAAGGAAAAGGGGAGAAGAAAGAAATGAGACCTTGACAATTGTGCTGGAAAAATTGTGGCTTTTTTAAAGTACAATTGGGGAAAATAAAAAGTTAATGGTTACTGAATACTACCGCAGGCTAGATTTTAATTGTGTGCACTTCCTTACATTTATACATAAGAATAACAGTAAGATGTGAAGACAGGTCACTGGAGTCTGTCAGCTGGCCTCTTCTGTATGTGGAGAGCCAGCTGCAGCAGCATGTGATAACCATTTGATCCAACTCATATTGGTAGAAATACGTCTGGGAGCCAAATGGCACGTAAGGGACCTGCTGCCACAATCAAAGCCCTCCTTAGAGGGTAAAATGCACTGTGGGAAAAGTGTGGATAGATATTTATATCTCTGTTCCAAGACTGAAACAATAACTACAGGAATATACTCTACCTTCTTAAAAATCCTCAGAGACAGGATGTTCTTTTAATAGATCTGTTTCCTTCTCCTATTTAGCGTGTGGAATCACGATTTTCCGGTTGTTAACAGAGATATTTGGTTCTCATGCAAGTTAAAAAAGAATAAGGCAAAGAATGTGATTTTTAGCAAAATCATAACATATTTGAGCTGAGAAAGAATCCACACATCTTAATCTGCACGTCTCACTCTACAGATGGAAAAGCTGAGGTCTGGGGTGGTCCAAGAGTCCTGGATCTAGTTAGTGTCACAGATTTGTGGACATCTGAGCTGAGATACATCTGGTACCCTTCCCCTCCTGGGAAAACTGCTCCTCCTCCCTTACTCCAACAGTATGGCTATGGTGGGTCCCATCCTGAAGGTTTTATCCTCTTCTGTCCTATCCCAGAGGTGGGCTATGTCCTAGCCCTGGGGGCCAGTCTCACCTTCCAGGCCATAGCAACTGGTCCAAGGTGAGCAAGTGACTGAACTAGAGCCAGTCTATGTCTATCCCTGGAACTTTTCATGCCAAAACTTGGAGAGAGAGTCTTCTACTCACTCTTTCCTCTTGAATCATGAGCCCAGAGCTGTCATAAGCTGTGTCCCTAGCCACATGGAACAGCCTGGCATGACACTGACCCTAAGAGAGAAGCAAGATGCAATTGGGTTTCTGTCACTTCCTCCCAAAAGAATCCTGACTAAATACAGATTCCAATCTAGAACTTAGGTCTCTGGACCGCAAGTACAGTGTTCACACCACTAGACCAAATAGTTGAAATTTAACACCATACATTTGATAGTGCCTTGAAGTTTTCAAAATACAGCCTTTCAAGGGGGCTAACTGAGGAATTATAATATCATGTAAGAGAAGAATCCATTTCCAATATAAAATTCTTAAGACAGCCACACACTTTCATTCCAGGCACTCCTTTGTTTCCCCCTCGTTCTGTTCATTTTTCTAAATACAACCAGAGGAAGGTCTCAATTAGAGAATGACAGTTTTTAACACCTATGGCAAACATCTGTAAATCTCCCTTTTAACTAAAAGAGTGTTCTCTAAACTCAATACAGACTAATCAAAAAGGGTTGTGACTTCTGAATCTGGAATAATATCGGAGATGCTTAAGATTACAAATTGTGTATTCTTGGAAAGATTCGAGGAAATGTTGCATTCATAATAGAAGGATTGAAAGATAAAGAAATTCACAGGAAATAGAATAACTAAGAAATGTGAAAGGTGAGAGAAGAGATACGAGACATAAGCAGTCAGTCCAGGAGGGCCAACATCTGACCAGTAGGCAATTCAAATATACAGGAAAGACAAAGAGAAGAAATAATACAAAGTCCCAAAGATTCTTCAGATTGAAAGGGTAGACAAATTGGCCAGCACAAGGAATGAAATAATCTCACGCTAAGGCTTAGCATTGTAAAATATCAGAACTCCAACCCTAAGAGAAGTTTCCAAAAGTTTCAAAGAAGAGAAAAAAGGTGCAAGAATCAGCTGACATTAGACTTCTCTCATCAGCAACTTCAGAA